CAATAAGAGCAAGAGAAGAGGAGTAGAGGAGAGGAAATGGAGGAGCAGAAATATTGAGTTGGGGGAAGAATAGAGGAAAGAGAGCAGGATGAGAGATACCATATCAGAGGGAGCCATTATAGGTCCGAGAAGAGATCTGGAACTAGGGAGATCTCCAGAGACCTACAAGGATGACACGATCTGACAATCCAGGCAATGGTGAGTGGATAACCTAAAAGCCCTTCCCCTAAAATGAGATTGATGACTACTCTTTATGCAAACCATAGAGCCCTCATCCAGTGGCTGATGGAAGCAGAGACAGACATCCACAGATATACACTGATCTGAAATCGGGAATTTAGTTGAAGAGAGGGAGGAATGAAGAGCGAAGGGGTCTGTACCAGGTTGGAGAAACCCACAGGAACATTTGGCCTCAACAAGGGAGAGCACATCGACCCCAGATGCTATCTGGGAGGCCAGTACAAGACTGATCCAGACCCCTGAACATGGATGTCAATAAGGAGGCCTCTGCACTCCAGGGAGCCCCTGGTAGTGGATTAGTATTTTTCCCTGGTGCAAGAAGGGATTTTGACAGCCCATCCCATGTGAAGGGTTACACTCTGGTCCTGGACACATGGGGAAGGGCCCAGGCCCAGCACAGGAAGATTTGGTGGACTTTGTTGAGCCCTGGTTGAGGGCACCACCCTGCCTGGGGATAGGGTGGATGGGGTGGAGGGTAGGTCGGGGGTGAGGAGGAGAGATGGGGGTGAGGGGAGGGAGAGGGAGAAGGGATCAACATGTGAAACAAGCTTGTTCCTAATTTGAACTAATAAAAAAATATTACTACTGAAAAATAAAGAATATAAAAAAAGAAAGAAAAAACGATACATAACCTGACATGTTTATACGAATGTGAAATAACTTCATGTGTTCCTGCCAGCAAAACAATGGAATACAGGCAACTACCGATTGTCAGACCGAAAATGAGCAGATGTTGCCAGGGCTATGGTCAGCAGCAGCAAGCAGAACTGAGTAGATGGCTGATAAAACACTTGATTTTTGTATCTGAGGGAACAAAACTTAATTTTGGGGGGCCAGTGAAAAAGGAACACACAGACACATACACCATCAACATGTCAGGGTCTCTCTTCTTTTTCTTCCTTACCTCTTTCTTGTCTGTTTACATTTTATCTCTTTTCCTGATGTCTTCCTTCCCTTCCCCCCCACCCCCCTCCCCGACAGCTTATTTACCCCAGCAAAATTTTTCAAGCAATATAAAAATTATGATGTGGTTACATTACATTTTTCAAATGAATGTAAACTTCATTTTCAAATGAAGCAAAATCATGATTCTCACTTCCCTGACATGATTAAATATTTTACATATTACAGGTGAAAATCAAATTATTTCCAAAATCCCTAATACATTCATGTCTAAGAACCTTTTTTTTATTGGTTTTATGAGACGATGTTTCTCTATAGCTTTGGGGCCTGTCCTGGATCTCTCTCTGCAGACCAAGCTGGCCTCAAACTCAGAGATCCACCTGCCTCTGCCTCTCAAGTACTGGGATTAACAGCACGCACCACCACCACCCAGCTCATATCTAAGAAATTGTCCTAAAGATTAAAAAAGCATAAGCAAGCCAGGTATCTTTTTCTGTCAGTTCTTTTTAATGACAAATGACATTTTGTGTTTACAAAGAAAGGACCAATCATTTTATTATTTATCTAAAAATGTAACCTATAAGATCTAAAAAGAATCACAAATATAGTTTTATATATGAAAAACCATCAGTCATCTCTACTTTTAGATGTTCAGCAGACTTTGTTGAATCATGTCAAGTAGTTGAGGGTACAATTAGATACAAAAAAAATTAATCATGGCTTTTGATCACCAACCCATCTTTATCAATAGAGACACATCAGCTACTAATAACTAGTATGCCTTTGTTTCTTGACTTCAATATGTCCCTTGCTATATACCACAGCATAGTCTTAGGCTTCTTGATTTTTCATTCTTATGCTATCGAGATTGAAAAAAGAAATTGTTGAAAATCATGTTTTCAGAATTTTTGCTCAGTATAAATTCTGTATAATTTGCACATAACATAAAGGCTTTCACAAATTTCTCATGCTCTTAATGTTTATCTTGTATGGAGGTGGAGTGATCTCTAATAATAGAGTTTTTAATACAGTATATGTACAATGTTGAGTATGGAAACTCTCTTCCCAGTATGGCTTTTCTCACGTATTCTTAGAAGTAAGAGAAGAGAGATACTTTGCTACATTTGCTACACTCACAATTTTCTCTCCTGTATGGATAATCTGATGCCGTCTAAGATGTGAAGCCTGTGTAAAGGGTTTATTACATTCATTACATTTGTAAGGTTTCTCTCCTGTATGAAGGGTCTGATGTTGTCTTAGGTGTGAACCCTGTGTAAAGGATTTCTCACATTTACTACATCTGTAAGGTTTCTCTCCTGTATGACTTCGCTTATGCTTTCTAAGACTTGAGATATATGGAAAGGATTTCTCACATTCACTACATTTGTAAGGTTTGTCTTCTGTATTAATTACTTGATGTTGTCCAAGAGTGGAGACATATGCAAAGGATTTCTCACAATCGTTAGATTTGAAAAGTTTCTCTCCTGTATGAATTCTCTGAAGTTGTCCAAGAGTGGAGACATAAACAATGGATTTCTCACAATCGTTAGATTTGAAAAGTTTCTCTCCTGTATGAATTCTCTGAAGTTGTCCAAGAGTGGAGACATAAACAATGGATTTCTCACAATCGTTAGATTTGAAAAGTTTCTCTCCTGTATGAATTTGCTGATGTTGTCCAAAAGTGGAGACATACGAAAAGGATTTCTCACAGTCACTAGATTTGAAAAGTTTCTCTCCTGTATGAATTTGCTGATGCTTTCTAAGACTCGAGATATATGGAAAGGATTTCTCACAATCGCTAGATTTGTAAGGGTTCTCTCCTGTATGAAGGGCCTGATGTCGTTTCAGGTGTGAACCCTGTGTAAAGGATTTCTCACATTTACTACATCTGTAAGGTTTCTCTCCTGTATGAAGGGCCTGATGTCGTTTCAGGTGTGAACCCTGTGTAAAGGATTTCTCACATTCACTACATTTGTAAGGTTTGTCTCCTGTATTAATTATCTGATGTTGTCCAAGAGTAGAGACATATGCAAAGGATTTCTCACAATCGTTAGATTTGAAAGGTTTCTCTTCTGTATGAATTCTCTGAAGTTGTCCAAGAGTGGAGACATATGCAAAGGATTTCTCACAGTCACTAGATTTGAAAGGTTTCTCTCCTGGTTGGATTCTTGGATGTGTACTAAGATGGTCTTTCTGGATGAAACAGTTTTCATAATCACTGTATTTATAAGGTCTCTCTCCATTATGGGTTTTATAATGGTTTTTAACTTGATACAAGGGGCACATCCAACATTCTTTACATTTGTAGGATTTCTCTCCAGAATGAGTTCTCTGATGTCTACTGAGACTCGAGTAGGCCCTAAAGTACTTCCCACATTTCCCACATTGGTGTATTTTCCCTACACCAGAAATCTGTTTCAGCATGAGTGTATGTTTAGAGTCAAATGATTCATCATAGTCTGTATTTTTGTGTAGTTCCTTTCTAGGGTAAATTCTTTGACTAATGCTGGAACACAAATTTAACCATTTCCCATAGTCTTTATATTTGTACGTTTCTTCTCCAGTGTTTCTACATTTATGATTCTTTAGGTTTGTTGATTCAATAGAGGTATCCTTCTGGTTATCACATTCATACTTGTTGGAGTTCTCTGAAAGATCACTTGTGTTATGAGGTGTACAATGAGAGAATTTGTGCACCTTTATGCCCATCTCATTATTTTCATAAGACTTCTCTTGGATATTCACAGGGTGATAGACAATGTGCTTTGATTCTTGATCCAAGACTTTCATATTTTTCACATACATATGATATTTCTCTGGAAAATGAGCACAAAAAAAGATTAAAGGGATAAATGCAAGTTACAGATTCAAGAACTGATTTCTCCTTAAGTTCTTGACTTGGAAACAGATTTCTCAGAAAAGGCAGGCTTTTTGTGTTTCATTATTGTGAAATGCATGCTGAAACACAATCTAATCACAGGGCAGTGGTAGTGCACACCTTTAATCCCAACACTTGGGAAGCAGACAGAGTCATATCTCTGTGAGTTGGAGGCCAGCCTGGAACTACAGAATTCCAGGATAGCCAGGACTGTTTCACAGAGAAACCCTACCACACCCAAAAACAACAACAACAACAAAAACAAAATAATCTAATCTCCATCAAAATCTGAAGACTGATAGTAGCCTTCTTATTATATAAACTCCAAATCCTGCAGAAGCTATGAGAAATACTTGATTGAGCAGTAATTTTTGACAAAGGAGCTTTTAGAAGGATCATATGTAGATGATTTCTCTTATCTTCTTACTGTTTATATTTTTGAGAGGGAAACAGTATACATACCTGACCAGCATGAAATACACTATGTAACCCAGGCTGGCCAGAAATACACCATGTCCTCTTACCTCAGCCTTCCTATTGCTAGCATTAAAATAATGCTACTTTGTGCTACCAGGAATAAATATAGACCAACAACTCTAAAGTATATTAATAAAATGAACAAAAACAGTAAAATGCACATTAGGTCTAATTTCCCTATTTTAAAATCTCTATATTTTTCAAAATTCAGAAGCAAGTGAAGTTTGATCTGATATTAATATCAATACATTCTAAACACTAGTATACTATGATGAATTTATTTGCTCTGACTATTCAACTTTCTTTCAAGATTGAAGTTTTCCTTAAATACCAGATAAAAGGGCTGTACATATCACACAATATTTAGTATTGGTTGCTTTTTCAGAGAACAAAGAATAGTCTAACAAAAAAGGAGAAAAAGCTATGTTTATTAACAGAAGTCCTCCCATATATGGTAGTCTCTGGATTGTTCACAAAGTTTACAAAAATAAAAAACAGGCAAATACTAACGATGAGGCAGATATTCCTCATGAAGATACTTCTTACCAACAAAAACTAGATTGTGGTAATTCTCCAACATCACGTCAATGTACAAGGCCTTTGAAGCAGACTCCAGACATTCCCATTCCTCCTGGGAGAAGTCCACAGCCACATCCCCGAATGTCAACAGATCCTGTAATAAAAAATTATCCATTTATCCTATGCTGCTGCTGGAGAAAAATGTTTTCCTAGGAAAAAGAGACCTAAGAAAATAGAGATTGTTTTTTGATATAAATAACCCATGCCCATTATTCCAAGATAAATGTTTTCTAGAGATGGTGAAAAAGTGGTTCATTGGATAAGAGCTCTTCAAGAGGACACCCATTAAGATCCCAGCATTGATATGACATCATGCAACTGATTCTAATTACTGTGCCACAGGATTTGTGATTATTTAAAAGAAAATGACAAAAAAATAAAAGAAAATGACACCAAACACAATGGAATTATTAGGATGTGTGGCACTGGTGGGTTAGTTTTGCCATCTAGAAGAAAATGTGTCACTGTGGGTGTGGGTTTTGACATCTCCTTTGTTCAAGCTGTGCTCAGTAAGGTAGACAATACAATTCCTGTTGCCTGCAGATGAAGGTCTAGAATTACAGCTCCTTTCTCCATGACCTTGCCTGCCTACATGCTAAAATATTTTATTCCATGATGATAATGGATTAAAATATTTAAACTGTAAGGATCTTTAATTAAATTGCTATGTTCCAGTATCTTCACAGAAATTGAAACCATAACTAGGACAGCAGCTGTGACAGGGACAGAAATATTACTATGATAGGCATGACCATATTTCTGTATGGAGGAATTTGAATCATGTTACTCTGGGTAACAAAAACAGTGGAATTTAGACAGAGAAGATGCAAGCTGACCAAGGATAAATCAAAATACAGGATTTAAGGAGCAAGGAGCACCAGGGAGTGGGATGGAGTAAAATCTAGGTTCTAGGAAACACAAAGAAATGGAATAAAGGGTGTGATTCCCTCAGGAATAGATCCCACTGAGCTGTTTCCAACTTTTGAAAAGTAATTAAAGATAAGTTTAGAGTCAGGCATGGTGGTGCAGCTCATTTCCCTGCACGCTGGAGACAGACGCAAGGAGATCTCTTAAGTCTGAGGCCCTTTTGGTCTACAGAGAGAGTTACAGGATAGCCAAGCTTAGACAGTAAAGGAAACAAAGTAAAACACAGAAAGCAGGTGAAGATGGAATTGAACAATGGGACCATGTTCCAGTCCCAGCAAGGAAAAGAACCTGGCAGCTTTCCCCACATGCTTCTGGGTTTAGAGTCAAGAATAGAAGAAAGGAGTTATGGAATCTTCCTTGATGACTCAGGAAATTGGCTGAGTGAGGTAAGGTGTGGCAGTGGTATCCCTGCATGGAGATTTGAAGGTGAATCCTTTATTGACTTGAAATAGCAAGAGCTTGGAGATGCCACAATCATTGGATTCCTGTCAAAAGAGGTGCTAACAGGGAATGGAACAGACCTGAGAGAAATGTGTTGCAGTCAACAAAGCTAAAAGAATTGTAGATATGAAGAGCTTTGACATCAGACATGGAGATGAAGTTTGTCAGGTTGCTTTTCAGTCTTAATTTGGTTCAGCTTTTCTCATTATGCTCCCTTCCCTACATATCTGGATGTTAATGTATATTCTGTGCCATTTTATATTGGAAGTATGTGATTGTTTTTTTTTGTTTTTTGTTTTTTTTTTTTAGTTTACAGGAGATTACAGTTAAGAGATTGCATGAATCTCAGAAGACACTTTGAACTTTAGACTTTTAAATAAATTTCGAGACTATAAACTATGGGACCCTTTGAAATTGGGACTGAATGCATTTTTGCATTATGCTATGACTACAAGCCTTTAGGTGGCAGGAAGTAGAAATAGTTGTTTGAAAGAAAATGGCCACTAAGGGAATGGCAGTATTAGGAGGTGTGGATAAGTTGCAGAATGCGTGGTCTTTTGGGAGGAAGTGTGTTGTAAAAAGAGGTGGAGCTTTTCTTTTGTCCCGAATGACCTGCCCTGAATAATCACACAAAAGCTTATAACAATTACAGATGTTTAGCCTATAGCTCAGGCTTATTAGTAACTAGCCCTTACACCTTACACATTTCTATTAGTCTACATTTTGCCACGTAGCTTTGTGGCTACATGTCTTCCGCAGCAGCTGGCTCCATCTCCCTGACTCTACCCTTCTTTCTGTATATTCAGTTTGTCTTTCCCACCTGGCCTTATTCTGCCAAAGCAGCTTCTGTATTAACCAATGAGAGAAATATAAATTCACAACGCACATTAGGATTATCCCACAACAGTGTGTGACTGGGGCTGTGGACTTTGAGGTCTCTTATGCTCAAGCTATAATCAGAGTGACTCAGTTCACTTTCTGTTTCCTGGGGAAAAAGACGTAGAATTCTCAGATCCTTTTCCATCACCATGCCTGCATGCATGCCACCATGTTCTCACCACGGTGATAATGGACTAAGCCACTGAAATTGTAAGCTACCATCAACAAAATGTCTTTCTTTATTAAACTCCCTGTGGTCATGGTGTCTCTTGAATCCCTAAGTAAGACAGAATCCAAGGCTCTTCTGTACTCTACAGGCAGAAGGAATACACAGTATTAATGCATACATTCATTCAAATAGACACATATCCATAAGAAAAAATGAAAGTTCATTATAAAAAGAAACGTTCTAGAATACCCTTTTATTGTATTTTCTATGTCTGTAAAGACAGAATGGCACAATAGTCTCACCAACGTTATTCTTTCAGGAAATACATTTGCAGACTAGATCCAGGAATTTACCTCTATCAACAGTATGTTGATATATCAAATAAGGTATCTCATTTCAGATAGGCAAATTTCAAGGAGCAAAATCATAATATTGACCCTGGATCATTCTTGTTGACAACTGGACATCACCTAACTCTATTCTATCTAACATGCTTAGTTGGGATGTTGATGTGTTTGTTCAATGATGTACCCATTGTAAAACAAACAGGCAGAATGTGGAAGGCACAATTTATTGATGAATTAAAAGTCAGATAGTTGTGTTTTTTTTTTTTTAACTATAAGGAGTGCAACAAAACTTCTTACAACCAAAGCACTAGACAAACAATACAATCAAATATCCTTTGACATGTTTTGAGAGTGAGATAAATAGGAAAGTCAAAACTAGATGTTAGAATTATTTAAATTTCTCTAAAAGTAAACATAGCAGTACTGTTAAATAACAATACCACAAATCCATATGGTTTCATTATATACAGATATAAAAATTTATATAAAGAGCCTGTTTGACAATAAATTCAGATGAAGTAAAAAGATGGTCTGTGTCCACAATGAATATATTAAGTCTTTTGAGAATAACATTAACTCTTTATTGATTTTGAATATATTATGCTCATGAGTATTGCTTAGCTGAAAATTTGAATCTTGTAATTTCACTCTATTCTTTTCCTCAGTATCTGAGCTCAACCATCTAAGAGGATTTTACCCTGAATAGAAAGTATCATTTAGATTCCTTTAATTTTCAAAAATTAAAAGATACAAGGTTGACAACTGGTTTCTCCAAAAAACTTCAACATGATTGAAAAACTGGGGGCCGGAGAGATGGCTCAATGGTAAAAGGCAAATGCCTTTCTTGCAGAGAAAGCAAGTTAGATTCTCACTACACACATGCAAGGTGAATAATCTTCCTGACTCTACTAATGGATGATTGTGGACAAAGCCAGAGCTTTGTTGCCATTGTGCAGGCATGTAGAATACATTTGCTTCGGGCAAAGGAAAAACATTAGTTGGGGCAGCTGCTTCTTCCAAAAGTAGAGGAGAGAACAAAGTCATTAAGGAGAGAAACTCATATACACTGGAAAATTGAGGGCTTATACAAAGCAACAAGTCAATACTCTCTAGAAAATTCTTTCTGATGTAGACTACATAATGTAAGATAGGGGTCAGTCAGCAGTACTTTCACAATGGTATCCTGTTGAAAAAAAATAAAATACAAAGCGAAAGTGTATTGAGAACTTACCACTGAACACTGGATTCAAAAGAAAGAAATCAGTAGAAACTAAACTGAGACAAATAGATTTCAGGAGTCAAAACAAAAAAAAAACAAAAAACAAAAACAAACCAAAAAGCAAAGGGAGATCACCACTGTGTGACACCAAATGCCAAAGAGAGGAACCAGTATACTGCAATATGCATCTCCTCACCGATACATCAGGTTCATGACAAGAGCAAGCAACATACTCCTTCCATTATCTGAGCTCACTATCATGCTGAAATGGTATTTCAGACTCAAGAGAGTGAGTCTCTTCTAATGCTTATTTTCCATATATGTATTAGTGATATGAGAAAAAAATTACATGAATTTGGATATTCACTTTCAAAGGTCTGTTTCTCAAATATGACAATCCCTGAAATATAACCCATACAGGACATGAGGCCTTCCTTCTTAAGTAAAAAAACAAAAACATAAGTACATCCTTTGTAGGATCTAGGCATCAATATATTTCTTGAATCATCATTTACAATGGAATCTCTTTCAGAATGGAAGGTTTCACATCCATGAAAATATATCTTGGTTATTAGGGAAGAAAAAGAAAGACCACAGTAAGAAATAAATACTTTAGATGACATTACCTGAGGCAGAGAAATAAAAGCTTTAATGATGTCAATGTAAAACAATTTTCAAAGTAATGTTGAAAGGACACTGACCTGGGGCACATTCACTGAAGATACAGCCATTCTCTCTGATAACTCTTCTCTAAGTTTCTGATGCAGGAACAAAGGCCAGAATTCTTGTTGACATTTCACATCAAGGTGTCAAAACAAAAACCTAAAATTAATATGACTCTATTAGGTGAAATGACAAACCACATAAAAAGTCCCAAACACCATTATGATATCAGAGGTCTTGTTCACATTTCTCTGGGGGTGGAGGGTAGAGGAGGTACAACATGGATAGGAATATATTTAGTGTGCTGAGAAAATAATAGTCAATCATTTCATTTCACCAAGAAACATTGGTTCTAAAACATCATGGAGAAGGAAGTACGGTTGAAGAGTATTATGAAATAACAGAGGTCATTCAATCAAGCAGCAGAGCAGAGCATGCTTAGAGGCACAGTATACCTAGAAATCTCAGACAGAAATTATCCATGAGAATACAGAAAGCAGGATATTTTACATGAAGAATTATTGAAGAGAGGGGAGCTAGGGAGTAATGAACCACGTCTAACACATCAAACCAAAACCCACTATTTCCAATGAGAGGGAAGAAAAATACTTCCAGCAATTTAACCAACCAGAATATGTTTTAAAATATACAACAAAGAAAAAATACACAAAGTAAATAGAGACAAGTGATGATGAAAATCTTTGTAAAAATGGAAATTTAAGACACAGCTCAGCAAGATTTTGTGATAAACTCCTAATGGATCTAGAAAGATAAGGAACACAGCTCAATATACTAAAGAGTCCCCATATCACACCTAGTCCAACAGTACAGAACATAGACAAAAAACATTAGAAGAAACAGCAAGGAAAGGAAGATGCACTTGCACTCAGGTCTTATATCATCCAGAGCAACAGGAGTGACCTAGAGAAATTTGAACAGAAAAAAAGAGATATGGAAAGGAGATACTGGTAATACAGAAAGACATCAAACACCTTTGTAATGATGTGATATCACAAAGAATTTACAATAGTCATCAAGGGAAGCAAACCAAATGGTCAAGTGCTTTAAGTACTATTGAAAACTACAAAACACAAGGTCCTAATTGTCCAGAGAATGCATGTTGCATGCCCCATCACCACCCACAGAAAGCTCAGAGACCTGGGGGGCAGCCTCCCTATACTGCAAACCACCCCATACTGTATCTGCCTCCTTTGGGGCCTTGGCCCCATTCCCACTGGGAGAGGTGAGTGCCTGGATCCCTAGCTAGAGGCCTCTAACCTCTAGGGCTAATAGCCCTGGGAACATTGCTCTCCCATCCCCTGCCCACTGAAGCTCAAGAGACCTAGGGTCAGCCTCCCCAACCCCAAACAACCCAGCACCACATCTGCTACCATCATAGCCTTGGCCCTGCCTCCACAGGGAGAGGAAGAGCAAACACTCAAGCCAAAAGCCCCACCTACACCAACTGGAAGAAGACAGACCCCCTGAATCATAGGCCCCACCTGCGCCCAGTGGAGGAAGAGGTGGGTAGAGTAAGAACACACTCAACAACATAAAGAGTAATATGACACCACCAGAGACTGGGGTTCTACACCAGCAAGATCTGAACATTCCAACGCAGATGACGCAGAAAAAAAAACTACCTAAAAATAACTTTATGATTATAACTGAAGCCCTTAAAGAGGAAATGAAAAACTCCCTTAAAGAAATGGAAGAAAGACAACAAAAAGTGGAATAAATGGAGGAAAAGACATACAAAAAAATTGAAGAAATCAACACATCCTTCTAGAAAGCAAGGAAAGCCAAGAAAAAAAAAAAAAAACAGGTGAAGGAAACAGTTTAAACAATTTAAAACTTGAAAACTGAAATAGAGGGCAATAATGGAAACACAAACTGAGGTAACGCTAGAAATGGAAAATCTGGGTACATGATCAGGAACTACAGATGCAAGCATAACCAACAGAATACAACAGAATCACATGTGTTGAAGACACAACAGAGGAAATAGATGCATTAATCAAAGAAAATGTTAAATTCAATAAATTCTTAACACAAAATACCCAAAAATTTGGGACATCATGAAAAGACCAACACTAAGAATAATAAGTATAGAAGAAGGTGAAGAAGCCCAGTCAAATGCACAGAAAACATATTCAACAAAATCAGAGAACAAAGCTTTTGCAACCTAAAAAAGGATATGCCTATGAAAGTACAAAAAGCTTACAGAACACCAAATAGACTGGATGGAAAAAAATAGTTCCCTCGACACATAATCATCATCATCGTCATCATCATCATCATCATCATCATCATCATCATCATCATCAAAACACCAATCATACAGAATAATGAAGTAATATTAAGAAAAAAGGCCAAGTAACATATAAAAGCAGACCTATCAGAATTATACCTGACTTCTCAATGGAAACTCTGAAAGCCAGAAGATCCTGGATGGATGTTCTACAAACACTAAAAGACCATGGATGCCAGACCAAACTATGATACCCAGCAAAGCTTTAAATCACTATAGATGTAAAAAAATCTTTGATGATAAAACCAGATTTAAGCAAAGCAATAAATATCTACAAATCCAGCCCTACAGAAAGTACTGGAAGGAAAACTCCAACCTGAGGAAGTTAGCTACACCCACAAAAACATAGGCAATAGATAATACAACATTACCAAAACCCAAAGAAGGGAAACACACACACAATACCACTATCAACAACAAATCCAAAAATAACAGGAATTCACTATCAATGGTCATTAATACCAACCATCTCAATTTGTCTAGAAATAGACACAGGCTAACGGAATGGATACAAAGGCAGACTCCATCCTTTTGCTGCATATAAAAAAACACCTCAACTCCACATACAGACATTACCTCAGAGTAAAGGATTGGGAAAAGATTTTCCAATCAAACGGACCTAAGAAACAAGCTGTTGTAGTTATCCTACTATCTAACAAATCAGACTTCAAACTAAAATTAATCCAAAGACATGAAGAAAGTTATTTCATATTTGTCACAGAAGAAAATCCATCAAGATGAAGTCTCAATTCTGAACATCTATGTCCTAAATGCAAAGGCACCCACATTTGTAAAAGAAACAGTACTAAAATTTAAATCACACATAAAACCGCCACACACTAACAGTGGGAGACTTCAACACCCACTCTCATCACTGAACAAGACTACTGGACAGAAACTTAACAGAGAAATAAAGGAACTAACAGAAGTTATGACTCAATTGGGTTTAGCAGACATTGACAGAACATTCCATCCAAACATATAAGAATAAGCCTTATTCTCAGCACCTCATGGAATGCTCTCTAAAATCGACCACATACTCGGCAACAAAGCAAACCTCAACAAATACAAAAAAATTAGAATAAGCCCTGTATATTATCGGATCACAATGGTTTAAAGTTAAATTCAACAACACAAATTGTAGAAATCCTACAAACTCATGGAAATTGAGCAATGCTCAGTTGCATCACTCCTGGGTAAAGGAAGAAAGAAATTAAAGACTAACTAGAATTCAATGAAAATGAAGACACAACATACCCAAACTTATAGGACACTTTGAAAGCAGTGCTAAGAGGAAAGTTCATAGCGCTAAGTGCCTACATAAAGAACCTGAAGAATTCCCACACTAGTGACTGGACAGAACACCTGAAAGCTCTAAAACAAAAAGAAGCAGCTCACCCATGAGGAGTAGAGGCCAGTATATAATCAAACTGAAGGCTGAAAATTAATAAAATAAAAAAAGAAAACAATACAAAGAATCAATGAAACAAAGAGTTGGTTCTTCAAGAAAATCAACATGATAGACAAATCTTTAGCCAAACTAGCCAAAAGGCAGAGAGAGAACATGCAAATTAACAAATTGAGAAATGAAAAGCAGGACATAACAACAGACATTGAGGAAATCCAGAGGATCATCAGGTCATACTTCAAAAACCTCTACTCCACAAAATTGGAAAAATTAAAATAAATGGACAGCTTTCTGGATAGGTCTCACATACAAAAATTAAATCATGAACAGATAATTTTAAATAGACCTATAACCCCTAATAATGAAATAGAAGCAGTCATCAAAAATAGACAGATAGACCAATGGAATCGAATTGAAAACCCTGATATTGACCCACGCACCTATGAATACCTTATTTTTTACAAAGGTGCTAAATCTATACAATGGAAAAAAGATAGCATCTTCAACAAATGGGGCTGGTACAATTGGATTCGTACATGCAGAAAATTGCAGATAGATCCATACCTGTCACCATGTACAAAACTTAAGTGCAAATGGATCAAAGATCTATCCATAAATCCAGCCACACTGAATCTTCTAGAAGGGAAAGTGGGAATTACCCTTGAACAAATTGGCACAGGAGACTGCTTCCTGAACATTACACCAGTAGCACAGACACTGAGGTCTGCAATTAATAAATGGGACCTCCTGAAACTGAGAAGCTTCTGCAAGGCAAAGGAAACAGTCAGTAGAACAAAATGACCACCCACAGAATGGGAAAAGATCTTCACCGATCCCACATCTGACAGAGGACTGATTTCCAAAATATATAAGGAGCTCAAGAAGCTAGCCACCAAAACACCAAACAATGAAATTAAAAAGTGGGTTGCAGAACTAAATAGGGAATTCTCAACAGAGGAATCTGAAATGGCTGAAAGACACTTAAGAAAGTGCTCAAAATCCTTGGCCATCAGAGAAATG